ATATAATATCTATTCACATTTTTATAGCTTAGAAATATACTTAAAATAGTATTCTTAATAGAGGTGATGATTCTGAATATTATCTGGAAACATTACAGTAAACTAAAACTACATAATTTTGTCACTTCTGCATCTAAATAAGAGATCCTCTACGATACAGCTTAGTATACAATGTTTTGGTTTTAAGGTATTTTAAAACTTTAAATTCGTTGAAATACAAGTATCTTTTTAACTCTCTTTTTAAAATTCTTTACAGAAGTGTTGTAATTTACAGTACTGTCCATGATGGCTTCATTCATGCATCATTAAAGATACACAATAATGGGGCCATATCAGGCATTGCTAAGTGCTATTTATTTGATCAGGATCAGTACAGCACTGAAGGTACAGAGGACCAAAACTCTGCTAGAGATATAACCAGCATTGGCCATATATAAAGAAAGCACCTTACCCCCGTACTATCTCTCTGACCTCTATTTTCTGGGATATATATATATGGTTTTTTTTTTGGCATTTTGGGTTACACCCAGTGATGCTCAGGGGTTACTCCTATTTCTCTCTCAGAAGTTATTCCTGGCAGTGTTTGGGGGACCATATGGGATTCCAGGGATCGAACCTGGGTCAGCAAGGCAAATGCCTTATCCACTGTACTAACTGGCCCCTGGGATATACATTTCTTGATAGGATTATTCTTTATGATTGATTTGATCTTCATATATATTCATATTTATTCTTATTTTATTTAGTTGTATACTTTCTGTTTATGCTCTTAACATATTTTATATACATAACATTGAGTTTTGCATGCTGCTTTATATCTTTTTCTTGTAATAAACTTATTAATTTTAGAGCAATTCTAAAAGAGTTCATAGAGTTTTCTGCATGCATAATAATACCATTGTCTGGAAGTGCTAGTGGTTGTAATTTATTCTTTAAAATATGATTTTAATTTTTTTCTCTTTATTATACTTACTAAAATGTCCAGTACAAAGTAGATGTGGTATTAGCATCCTTTCCATTTTATTCTGAGTTAAGATATAAAACATTTAATTCACTTCCCATTAAATACAATGTTGCTATTGTAGCACTGTAGCACTGTTCTCCCATTGTTTGATTTGCTCTAGCAGGCACCAGTACCATCTCCACTGTGAGACTTGTTACCGTTTTTGGCATATTGAATATGCCATGGGGAGCTTGCCAGGCAGGAGACTCTCAGCAGCTTGCTGGGCTCTCCGAGAAGGGCATAGGAATTGAACCCGGTTCGGCCGTATGCAAGGCAAACACTCTACCGGCTGTGCTATCGCTCTAGCCCACTAGTATTGTATGTTCATTATATATTTGTCAGAGTAAATATATGGTGGTCAATAAATTGATTTTTCTTCTTTATTTAAACACTGTGTCTTACAAAGTTATTGAAAATAGTTATTATGGGTATTTTTCTTCTTTATTTAAACACTGTGTCTTACAAAGTTATTGAAAATAGTTATTATGAGTATTTAATGTTCCAACACCAATCTACCACCAGAGTGGCTTTCTCTCCTCTATGTGTCTATTTCACCAACTGCCTTCCATACATGCGACCTTACCACAAACAAAATTATTATAACTAAATTGCTAATGGAATTATAAAAAAAAACTGCAATAAAAGAAAATTTGTGAAAATTACTGTATCTCACCATGGGTCCTTAAAGTCCTTGTTTAATGGTGTGCTAATCTCTTTGTTGTTAGTTAAGTCTTTAATTTTTTTAATTTTATTTGTTTATTGGGCTTAGTTGACTTCTCTGTTACATTCTATTTGGTGTGCTTCAATTGGGATGTCACTGTCACTGTCCTCCCATTGTTCATCGATTTGCTCAAGCGGGCCCAGTAACGTTTCCACTTGTTACTGTGTTTGGCATATTGAATACGTCACGGCTAGCTTGCCAGGCTTTTTTGCCCGTGCGGGCAAAATACTCTCAGTAGCTTGCCGGGCTCTCTGAGAGGGGCGGAGAATCAAACTTGGGTTGGCCATGTTGGCTGCGTGCAAGGCAAATGCCCTACCCACTGTGCTATCACTCCAGCCCAATTGGGATGTCAGTATTATGGAATTTAGAGGTGTACTATGGTTGCATATCCAGCTGCATGATTCAGTAACTCTAGGATCTGTAAACTGAGCAGATGAGTTTACATGATGATGGTTGTGGGAATTGGATGTGGTTTCTGCGACTGATGGAATTACAGAAGGGTTGGGGGAGGTTGCCTGCTCCCTTTCTTTAACAAGACCTCAGAGTTTTCAGCCTGAAAACCAGTGTACCTAGAATTGTTGGTTAGATGTATCTATGGAGATTAGTCAAGAAGTAGAGTTGTTGGGTCATTGGTGTGACAGCAGCTGTAGCGTATGGGCGTGGCTGCCAGGCTTCAGCAGGGTTGGGACTGAGTCCATATGATACCAAGATTAATCCTGAGATATAAGCTGAGAAACTAGTGTACCCACAAATTTTATCTGCTTGGCTTGCATCTCTTATGAAATGTAGCCATGAATCTGTGAAGTTGAGGCAATTGATTTATATTTTATATTCACAACATTGATGGTAATTAAAAGTATTCTAGTTACAAATTATAGGAAGTACTGAAATAAGAATAGGGATGGGAAGTGTAGATGTAACAAAGTAAAATTTGACGATGAGTTTTATTGATACAGTTCCAATCCTTAGTAAATGCCTTATTCAAATTAGTACATTAGGTTACATACAAACCACATTACCAATAGCATTTATTATAAAATTTATCTGTTGAGTATTTTGATTGTAGTGCTAGGGATAGAAATCAATACTTCACACCATAAATCAAGGATTATTTTATGTGGCACTGTTGATCTGTCACTTCCACTAAGGAGATGTTACTTTAAGTATTTTGCTTGTTTGGTTGGTTGGATTTTGTGCTAGAAATAAGAATAGGTTGGGAAGTGTAGATTTTTGAAATATATATTATCATCATCAATACAATCACCCAGTAGTGATTATACCTGGCTTTTCACTTAGGGATCACTCTACTGGGGCGTGGACAACCATGTGTACTGTCCCTTGAACCCAGGTCAGCTGTATACAAAGGAAACAGCCTACCTGCTATATTATCTCTCCTGCCTTATTTTGGAATTTGTAAAGTAAGCAGACTTTTCAAATTAACAAAGTTGCAAAATGATTTAAGTAACTATGAACTATTAATATCATTCAGTGTGACTACGCTATTATTTTTTAAAAGGAAGATAATATTAAAGGGTGATAATAGATTGAATATAGATATGATTGTTCTTTTCTCTGAAATACCAAATTAATAGCAGAATTTAAATTAATTTTTCTTTCTTTACTCATAATATATTTCATATGAAAAGAATGAATGAAAAAGTAACAGGTTTTTGAAAAGATGAAATATATATTTATTAATGATGCCCCACCCCCAGAATCTATGCTGCTTATTTCGTCAAGTAAATAAACAAAGGATATATATGAAAGTAACTAGTCAGTGATCCAAAAAAATATGTAATCAAACCTAAAGAGTATTAATATAATCGACAAGCAAAGATATTGATGAAAGCTTTCTTCATTCACTTTATTTACCAAGAATTTCATAATACATTTTGTTCTGAATCAATAAAGTTTTAACTCTAATAATAGATGTTTTAAGACATTTTTGAGATAAATATCAGGGCTACATACTATACTAAGTGCTGTGTTTTAAAAATTAAATTTATGTGATTTTGAGAATGATCCTTAGGATATCAAACTGTTGTCTCCATTTTCTAGAAGAAAAATGTTAGGTCTAATTTTTTTAATTTTTTTTCTCAAGGAAGCACAACTGGCAGTGCTCAGGACTTACTCTGGACTCTGTGCTCAGGGATCATTCCTGTTTGGGACCTGGTAAACCATATGTGGTATCAGGGATTGCACTGGGTCAGCCACTTGCAAGACAAGCACACTACCCCAGTAATTAGTAGTAATCTGGTCACTATTATTAATATTAATCCTTTAAAAGTATGGCAAATTAGACAATGGTCTTTTGTAAGCCTGAATTTCCAATATGGACATATGCATATACCCAACCTCTTCAAATTATAAATATTAAGCAGTACAGTTTGTATAGTCTTCATTACACCAAAATCAGTTGTTTGAAGAAATCAAAAGTTCCAATACCATGATTGAAATATTCTAAGACAGTAAATAGGAAAATGCAGCAACGGAACATGACCTTCAACTGACCCTCACTGAGGCATTTACAAGGTGTGTGAAACCACCCATCACCTCCAGAGTAGAACAACTGCCATCAGACTGTAGCTTAGTGATTGTAATTGAAACATATTTTCTCACTTATATTCTTGAGTAGAAAATGAGACATAAAAATATTGTGATTGTTTTTCAGTTACTTTCAGAGTATCTTGTATAGCAATAGAGAGCTAGAACAAAATGTAGTACTATAAAAGGGTGATACTAGAATAAAAACCAACTGTGGAATTAGTTTTGGCATTGGGTTATGGATTATGTGTGGGAGAGGCTTGATGAAACTCTTTATGAGTGAGGATCATGAAACAAGAAGGAGTTCCTTTGATATGCTGCAGAACAGTTAGCGACACCTTCGCCTGTGCTTACATAGAGTTTCACATGGTCATGCCTGATGATCTCAGGTCTAGATAAGAGATTGCCTGCTTCATATTGAAATTTCCACATTAATTCTTTTATCTACCATTATACAATATAAAAAGAATTACTAAAGAAAATGTTCTTGAATTTGAAACACAAAGGCTCAGAAAATACTTAGAATTTTATCAATCTTTACTAAAACATCCAGGGGCAGCTCAAAATATAAATTGGTCTTTGCTTCCTCAGTTATCCCAGGCCAGAAGGCATCTGAAGAAGCTTCTCTACTGAAAAGTATGTGCCATTTAAAAAGTAAAACTAAACCCAAAGCGAGGTCCTGCCTACCAAGGCCGCTACTGTGTGGAGACCATGGGGCAAGCCACAGTCACCATGTCAGATCAGGAGGCAAAATCTTCAGCTGAGGACTTAGGGGATAAGAAGGAAGGAGACTTCATCCTTTCTAACAGCTACATAGTACTCCATTGTGTAGATGTACCAAAGTTTCTTTAACCAGTCATCTGTTCTCAGGCACTCAGGTTTTTTTCATATTCTAGCTATTGTAAACAGTGCTGCAAAGAACAAACAAGTGCAGATGTCGATGTCACTTCAACTATACTTTTTTGTCTCTCTGGGGTATATTCCCAGGAGTGGTAGTGTTGGGTCAAATGGGAGCTCAATTTCTAATTTTTTGAGAATCATCCATACTGTTTTCCAGAAGGGCTGAACCAGTGGGCATTCCCACCAACAGTGAAGGAGTGTCCCTTTCTCGCCAAATCCGTGCCAGCACCAGTTGCTTTTGTTCTTTTGGATGTGGGCCATTCTCTGAGGTGTGAGATGGTATCTCATTGCTGTTTTGATCTGCATCTCCCTGATGATTAATGATGTGGAGCATTTTCTCATGTGCCTTTTTGCTATTCAGATTTCTTCTTTGAGAAAATTTCTGTTCATTTCATTGCCCCATTTATTGATGGATGTTTTCTTCTTGTGGAGTTCAACCAGTACTTTGTATATCCTTGATATCAACCCCTTGTCGATGTGTATTGGGTGAATATCCTTTCCCATTCTGTAGACTGTCTTTGTATTTTGGTCACTTTTTTTTTTTGAGGTGCAAAAGCTTATTAGTTTAAGATAGTCCCATTTGTCTATCTCTGTTTTCACTTGCTAGGCCAGTGGCATGCAAGTGGTACTACATGGAAAGTATCATGCTAAGCGAAATGAGCCAGAAAGAGAGGGACAGACATAGAAAGATTGCATTCATCTGGGGAACATAAAGTAACAAAATAGGAGACTAACACCCAACAATAGCCGAGATAAATACCAGCAGGTTTACTCTATGGCTTGGAGGCCAGCCACACACTCTAGGGGTAAAGGCAGCTTAGATAGAGAAGGGAGCACCAAATAAAGGGTATTGGGAAGATCCACCCAGGATGGGAGTTGCATGCTGAAAGTAGACTATAGACCAAACATGATTGCCACTCAAGGCCTCTCTTGCAAACCACAGCACCCAAAAGGAGAGAGAGAACAAAGGAGAGTGCCCTGTCACAGAGGCAGGGTGGGATGGGGGAATGAGAGGGTGGGAGGGATACTGGGATTAGTGGTGGTGAAGAATGGGCACTGGTGGAGGGATGGGTACTTGATCATTGTGTAACTGAAACCCAAGCACAAAAATGTGTAAGTCTACAACTGTACCTCATCTTGTTTCACTAATAAAAATTAAAAAAAAAAAGAAGGAAGGAGAATATGTAAAACTGAATGTTATTGGACAGGATAGCGGTGAGATTCACTTTAAAGTGAAAATGACCACACATCTCAAGAAACTCAAAGAATCTTACTGTCAAAAACAGGGAGTTCCAGTGAATTTACTCAAGTTTCTCTTTGAAGGTTCTAGAATTGGTGATTATCACACTCCAAAAGAACTGGGAATGGAAGAAGAAGATGTGATTGAAGTTTATCAGGAACAAAGAGGGGGTCATTCAAGGGTTTCGATATTCTTTTTATTTTTCTTTTCCCTCAATCTTTTCTTTATTTTTAAAAATAGTTCTTTTGTAATGTGATGTTCAAAAAAATAATTGAGAGCAGGTACGCAGTCTCTTTAAAACATCTGGTAATTTGAATTCTAGTGCCCATTATTCATTATCATTTGTTTTCATTGGGCTGATTTTTGATGATCAAACTTCAGTTCCTACATATTGTCCCCTCCTTTTAGAAAATGACTTGTGTGCACAGAAAGGCCACCTTTTGCAGGAACTATGCATTTTCAGGCTTGTGATAATAAGACTGACCAATCCAAGTGTCCATAATGACTTTCCAATAGGTCCTGAAGTTCTAGCATGTGAATGCTTTATTCCTGGACTATGCCTTTTAGTGGGAGATGGAAGTTTTTCAGAAATGAATTTTGGAAAATGACCTTTCCTTAACTTGAAGCTACTTTTACAATCTGAGGGTATGGACCAAAAGAAGAGGAATATCATATTGGAAATGATATGACAGCTATTATGAGAGTAATGAATAACTCCAAATATGACTTCACTGAAGAGAAAGCATTTTAAGATTAAGGAGAAATCTTGTCAGAAGATCCCAGAAAAGTTCTTTTATTAGCAGTTAAAGTTATTTCTGCAGAAGTGTATACAACAGAACACTGACCTTTTTTTGATTTTGTTTGTATTTTTTGGACTGGAATATGGGTTTTAAATGGACATTGTCTATACCAGCTCCATTAAAATAAACAAAATATTTGTAAAAACAGTAAAAAAATAAAATAAAATAAAAAACATAAATCTAGGAAAGGAGATCAGAGATCCCTTAAGTGGTAAAACATAGATAGAGTCCTCCCATTGTTCATCGATTTGTTTGAGTGGGCCCAGTAACATCTCCATCTTGAGACTTTGTTGTTACTGTGTTTGGCATATCGAATACTTCACGGGTAGCTTGCCAGGCTTTGCTGTGCGGGCAAGATACTCTCGGTAGCTTGCCGGGAACTCCGAAAGGGGCGGAGGAATCGAACCCAGCTGTGCCAGGCCCGCTGCATGCAAGGCAAACGCCCTACCACTCCTACCACTGTGCTATCTCTCCATCCCACTGGTAAAACGTATAGCTAGTATATGCCAGATCCTGAGTTCACATCCTTTGCCTTCCTGAACCTCTGCTACTAGCCAATGTAGCCTTAATGGCCTCTGAGCACCAATGTCCTTTACACTATACTGCTACATCCTAGTACCAAACAGTCAGTTCTACCTGGCATGCACATTACAGAATATACTCTCAGGATCACAGAGCACCAATATATATATATATATATATATATATATATATATATATGTATATATGTATATATATACATATATATATATGATTAAAGAAAACTCAGGCAGAATTCTCACCCAAAGAAAATGTCTATGACTATCATCGATTGTATAATCATGTAAAATTTCTTTATTTGATATTAAATTCTGGTTTACATTTATTTTGTTTTTGAGGCCATGCCCAGCTATGCTCAGAGATTACTCCTGACTCTAGTGATCAGGGATCACTCTTGGTGGAGCTCAGGGCACCATACATGATGTCAGGGATTGGACCTGGGTCAGCTGTATGAAAGGCAAACTCCCTACCCACTGTATGATCATTCTGGCCCCGTTTTCTAGTCTATGATTAAAAGAACTAAAAGGGAGGTTCTCCCATGAACTGTGTTGTTTTCAAAAAAAAAACTGCATGCAACTGTTATAGAATAATTGCTTACACATATGAAAAACATCTCTGAATTTGAGAAAACTAAATTTGTATAAACATTTAAACTCAGAAAAAAAAATTCAGTAAGTTTTCTGCAAATTGAACTCTATATCTTAATTATTCATAGATGCAGGATTTACAAGGATTACACAAAGATTTGTTTGAAGACTGAATTTATAACGGTCTCCACATTTTAGAAATAGTTTCGCTTGGCTCTAGCTTCATGTTTAGAGATTGGTGTCACTGAAAAAATTAAATCAGGTTTGACTGTTTAATAATAAGTGTTGCTAGAGGTCTGAGGCTATATTGATACTACTGTTCAACACATTTTCTTGTGATGGAAAACTTTTTATAACAGTAACATAAGTAGATGCTATCAAATCAGTTTTATGTTGAGTATACCCTGTGTGTACATTTCTGCTTCTCTAGTATACAGGATTATTTTTTAAGTTTAGAACATTATTATGTTTAGTTGTACCTTATAATTAAAAATAAAATGCTGTGAAATATATATGTATATATTTTAGTAGCACCATCCTCCCATTGTTCTTTGATTTGCTTGGGTGGGCACCAGTAACGTCTCCATTGTGAGACTTGTTGTTATTGTTTTTTGGCATACGAATACTACATGGGGAGCTTGTGAGACTCTGCCGTGCAGGCAGGATACTCTCGTTAGCTTGTCGGGCTCTCCTCAAGGAATGGAGGAATCAAAGCCAATGGGTCAGCTGCATGCAAGGCAAACACCCTACCTGCTGTGTATCACTCCAGCATATATTTTATGAATTGTCATATGCAATCCTCACAATTGTATTGGATACACATTCAGTCATCTTTTTGGAGAGAATTTTGGGGATAAACTCAGCTGTGCTCAGGGCTTATACCTGGCTCTGTGTTTGGGGATCACTGCTGGTGGGGCTGGGGGACAGTCTGCAATGCCAGGGACCAGCCCAGAGTTGAATGTATGCAAGCGGATACAGTGCCTAAACAGCAAACATCATTTTTGTTGAGAAAATTGGCTACATGTTATGTTAAACAATTCACTGAAACCATTTCTAATTATAATCTGGTTATAAAAATAATTTGTTCCAAGATTATCAGAACTATTTGCATGAGGAATCATATACAGGAAATCAGAGGACTCTTATTATTTCTATATGAGTTGATAAAAATACACAAGTTTCAAAATGTTTTTTTTTTTTAGTGCAGTTGATACTGAGATTTAAGTGTGACCAGAATTGTCATCAAGATTCAAATGTGAAATGTGCTCCTCTTGACCTGGTATCTGATCAAAGAACATTTCAATATAAGGAAATATGGTAATGGTTGTGTACATATCAGAAATGTGTTAGAATGGAAAATATTTCCATAAGGCAATAAACCTGAGTTCTTCAAAATAAATTATCTTTAAAAACAGAAAAGTGAAGACTCTATTAAGAATTAAAGAACACTCTCTTCACATTATTCTAGGTACTTTTTATGTCACAAATACTAGTTTTTAATTATGAAACTTAAATTTTGTTTTTTTTTGAGAATTCATGTATCAGTGTTTAGGTGGTTGTTTTGTATTATTATTATTATTATTATTATTATTATTATTATTCCAAACAAGCATGTTATTTGGACTACACTCTATTAAAAAAATAGAAAAGATTTTGGAGGTGCAGTTTCAGTTTTTACGCCTACTGTTATACTGTACAAATCATCTGCCTCAAGATATGATAGTTATGACATTTCTGGCCAGATATGTAAAAAAAAAGACACAAGAAATTTTTTTAGGAGCTGACCCCACGTGTGGCTCTTTGGCATGGCCATGGCTCCAGAAGCACAAGGACTTAAACCAGAGCCCAGCAGCTTGCTGCAGAAAAGTGAATGGACTATGCATTAAACTACGGTGCCATGCCTCCCCGGGAGGGAAAGGGTGTTTCTTCCTTCCACCTTTTTCCCCCCCTGGCAGCATGGTGGCCACTGTGTCAGAGCTTATTGGAAAGCCAGGTATGAGGCGGCCATGACGGGGCAACTGCAGCCTCATGGGAAGGGGGCCGGTACGGGCTTGTCCTTCACGCCCTACTGAGGCCATGAGTTACACCCCATGAGGGGCTATCCAGCCCGGTCATGGCTCCAGAGGCACATAAACCAATTTTGTAATTATCAGGCTCTTGGAAGAAATTAGTAAAATATCAAAAATCAAAAATCGGCTATTGTGGCCGCATGACATCATATGGTTTTCATAACCAGCTATAGAAAAAAATTATTTCGCAATGCCTTTTCAGCAGTTCTGATTGTTGGGTGGAAATTCTAAATAATAATGGTGCATCTTTTGTTGAAATAATGAATGTAATCAAAGTAGAGAGAGAGTTAAGCAGAAATCACCTGCCTCACAGCCATTGGGAGGGAAGGGAGGGGGTTTCTTGGTGGTGAAAAATAAGTGCTGGTGAAGGGAAAGGTGTTTGATCATTGTATGACCAAGACTTCAACCTGAAAACATTATAACTTTCCCCACAGTGATTCAAGAAATAAATATAAAAATGATGATAATAAAATTATTTTTATGATTATATTAAAATCATTTTTTAAAAATAATTTTTTTATTTGTATTTGGCAAATGAAATAACTTGCTCAGCTTACCTCCATATAAATTACTCAGTCTCAAGGCTCAGAAGCTTAGGATTTTTTGTGGATTTTTTTTCTTTTCTTGTGTGTGTGTGTGTGTGTGTGTGTGTGTGTGTGTGTATGGGACACATCTTGCAATGTTCGGGGGTCACTTTTATAACAATTTTCATTAGTGAAACACCATGTTTTACAGTTGTGGACATTACAAGGTTTTGTGCTTGGGTTTCATTTATACAGTGATCGAGTTCCCATCCCTCCACCAGTGCCCATTCTATACACCCAATGATCCCAGTGTCCCTATCACCGCCCAATCCCCCACCCATTTCATTCCACCTCTGTGGCAGGCATTCCACTTTTTTTCTCTCTCTTCTTTTGCCTACCGAGGTTTGCAAAAGATGCACTGAGTGGCGATCATGTTCGATCTACAGTCTACTTTCAGCATGCATCTCCCATCCTAGGAGGATCAGGACAACACCTCTGACCTCATGTTCCCTTCTCTTTCTGAGCTACCCTTTCCTCTACCATATGCAGCTGACCTTCAAGCTATGGAGTGAAACTCCTGGTACTTATCTCAACTATTCTTGGATGTTAGTCTCCTATTTTGTTACTTAATATTCCCCAGGTGAATGCAGTATTTCTATGTCTGTCCCTCTCTTTCTGACTCATTTCACTTAGCATGATACTTTCCATGTAGTACCACTTGTATGTAAATTTCATGACTTCCTCTTTTCTAACAGCTACATAGTATTCCATTGTGTAGATGTACCAAAGTTTCTTTTACCAGTCATCTCTTCTCAGGCACTTGTGTTTTTTTCCAAATTTTGGCTATTATGAACAGTGCAGCAATGAATATAGAAGTGCAGATGTCATTTTAACTATACTTTTTTGCCTATCCAGGATATATTCCCAGGAGTGATATTGCTGGATCAAATGGGAGCTCAATTTCTAATTTTTTGAGAATCATCCATACTGTTTTCCAAAAGGACTGAACCAGTCAGCATTCCCAGCAGCAGTGAAGGAGAGTCCCTTTATCACCACATTCACACCAACACGGGTTGCCTTTGTTCTTTTGGATGTGGGCAAGTCTCCGTGGTGTGAGATGATAACTCATTGTTGTTTGGATCTGCATCTCCCTGATGATTAGTGATATAGAGCATTTTCTCATGTGCCTTTTAGCCATTCGGATTTCTTCTTTGAGAAAGTTTCTGTTCATTTCATCACCCCATTTTCTGATGCGGTCGCGCGCTTCTGGGAGCTGGATTTTATAGTCTCTGAGTCTTGGCTGTTGATGGGATTACCTGGCGTCCTGGGCAGTTTGTGGGTGTGACCCCTGCCTACTGGATGATGGAGAATCTGGGTGGAGGTTGTTCAGCCCCGATCCAGGCAGGCTTGGAAATCTCAGCCCGGGACCGGCATGCCTGTGTTCCTCTGCCGGTTCCTTCATGCGTGTGGAGAGTGGTCTCAGCATGGTGGTGGCTGGTTCTGGAGGTCTTCAGCTGCCAGGGCTCTGCTTTGCGTGTGGAGGTAAACTCAACCCGCCTGCCTCCAAGGGGACCCAGTGAGGACAGCCAGCCGCTGTGGCAGGAGACTCTGCGCCATTCTCTTCCGGGAGCTGGGTTTTATAGTCTCTGGATCTTGGCCATTGACTCATGGCCAAGACGTTTGCACCCAGGCGACATCTTATTACCTCGTTCTTACTTTGGACAACCTGGCAGGCTACCAAATGTAACCTGCCCAAACGGCAGAATCTGGCAAACTCCCTGTGGCATACCCAATATGCCAAATACCAGTAATAATGATGGGTCTCATTATCCTAACCCTGAAAAAACCTTGAATATGGCACTTTTAAAAATCTCAGGTCTAGGACAAAGGAGACGTTATTGGTGCCTGCTCGAGGCATCGACAAACAACAGGATGATCGTGATCGTGATTGTGATTTTTTGATGGGGTTGGATGTTTTCCTCTTGTGGAGTTCAACCAGTGTTTTGTATATCCTTGATATCAACCCCTTATCAGATGGGTGTTGGGTGAATATCCTTTCCCATTCTGTATTGTCTTTGTATTCTGATTACTGTATCTTTTGAGGTGCAGAAGCTTCTTAATTTAAGATAGTCTTATTTGTTTATCTCTGTTTCCACTTGGATGGTCAATGGAGTGTTGTCTTTGAAGATACTGTTAGCCTAAATATCGTGGAGGGTTTTGCTGACCTTTTCTTTGACGTACCTTATGGATTTTGGCCTGATGTTGAGATCTTTAATCCATTTTGATCTGACTTTTGTGTATGGTGTTAGGTTGATGTCTAAGCCCATTTTTTTTGCATGTGGTTTTCCAGTTATGCCAGCACCATTTGTTGAAGACGCTTTCCTTGCTCCACTTCAATTTCTTGCTCCCTTATTAAAGATTAGATATTCATAATTTGAGTTTGTGTGTACGGATATTCCACCCTGTTCATTGGTCGGCATCCTTGCCTTTGTTCCAGTACCATGCTGTTTTAATTATCACTGCTTTGGTCAGGAAGGAGATGTGTGCAGAAAATGGATAAAGGACCAAACATGATAACCT